CACCTGACCTTGGATTTCCCATTTGTCATTGAACGCACCGTCAGAGAGCAGCAGCTGTCATGTACAGTAGAGATGCAGCCTAAAATATGAGTCATAAAGTTATCAGACAGAAAAGATGCCTGGAAGGACAGAAGTTCATTAGTGGTGGAGGAAGTATTCACGCCTCCAACAGGAAGTTGGTTTTGTTTTTACCGTGTTGGAGATAAAATCTCATCTTTTCTGTCCAACTGCATCATTTAATGAATCTGCTGCACTGAAGCGTCAAAGACTTCACCCCCTGCAAGTCTGATGTGAAGGAAACCCCCAAACCTCTCCAGGCTCCATACGGGCCAGAGGTCAGAGACGACAGGAGGGGACCCGTCCCTGATGTACGGAGTCACTTTAAACACAAAATTATCAACATGTTGGGATAAGAAATAAAAAGTTTGCTGTGTTGTGTTCATCAACGCTGATCAGGTTTTATTGTAGAAACTGATTAAAAACACAATCGACTGATTAATGAATATATGGATCAAGGTTATTAACTAAAACAAACAAAATTATAACTACATGTAGAAAACATTTTTGTTAATTTAAATAAATAAATAATAATATAATATAACATGCTGAAATTGTAGAGATATATCCTTTGTTTCCATGTCTGTTAATCTGTTTATTAGCCTTTCAATTTGATGTGACATTTATTTTATCCTCACACAAGCAGTTTACGTCAGCTGTCAGTAAATTACGGAGCCTCGTTTTCCTCCTGGAGGAAAAATGGTGAAAGTTGGAATAAAACTCCAGTCAGTTTATGTCCAACAAAAATTTAGTCCATTTTTTGAAAACACTATCTTCTGTCGAGTATTTATCACCCAATCGATGTAAACGTAACAACTTTTTACATTTTTTTAATTCTGCACCTAAAAATTAACCACAGTGTGAAAAACTAAAACTACTACTATGACTAATAAAAATTAAATAACCAATAAAACTAGTAATTAGTAAAATCTAACTAGAACTATTTGAATTAGACAAAATTACAATGAAATAAAACTAAACTAAAACTAACTAAACTTGGTTTGGGTCGATGAATATTTCAGGCTTTGATGCATTTGAATAAATTAACCCTTTAGTGAAATCACAAACTAATGTTTTAATTAGTTTCTTAAATGACTCCAGATATCCAGGACCCATCTTAGGCCCGACTTTACCGGATTTAATCTGATTGTGAATTCCTCTCAGTTTCCATGGAAACCAGCCTCGGGCCATCGCACTCCCTGATGTCTGCCAGTCAGAAACGCATTCCCAGCAGCAGACTTCCTGCTGACGGTTTCCCTGAAAACCTGGCGCGGATTTCTGGATCGGATTCCAGACTCGCCTCAGCAGTTCCCCAGGGGTCAGGAGGTCAGGGGTCACGGGCTGAAGGTCGTTGGTGGTTGAAGCTTTTCTCTCCATGTAGAAACTTCAGAAATGAGGTCCTTCCAGCTTCTGTTGGGACATTTTGTTTGCTGCCTCACCGGTTCTGATCCAAACCAGCTGTGTGTGGAACAGATGGCTCGGGTCAAACGGCGTAAAATCAAAACCAGCTTTGTTGACTTGGACTGAGGCTCACCAAGGAATTTCACTGCAGTTTTTAAGAGCTCAGGCTTTGAACGCAGCTAGAAAATGGACGCTTCCTGTGAGAATGCATTGTGAGTCCTGTAAGCTGAAAGTTTGTGCTGTGAATTACATAAATGTCATAAATTATCAGAAGAAGATGAGTATTAGAAACTGGAGCAGAACTCTGCATACAAAGCTAAACCGTCTGCTGATCAAAGGTCTGTTTTGATGAGCTAAAATGTTTTTAGCTAAGATGCTAAAGGTTGTGGGTTGCTAGCGCCCATTTTTCGCCCGTAAGAGTGAAAACAGCAGTATAAGGTAAAATGAGCTGAAAAGCTAAAGCTAGCTAAAATACTAACTATAGCATATTGGCTAACACATGCATATTTGACAGCATTAAATTACTCTATTCAGGATGTAATTTTATGCTTTTAATTTAAAATTAGCTCAAATGTAATGGATGCAATGCTTACATTAGATAACATGCTACAGTTGACTAGCATTAGTCAACATGCTGACTAATGCTAGCGTGTTGGATAACATTAACTTCATTCAGTATGTTAATGTTAGAATTAGCTGAAATGTAGCTGATGAATGCCATCATGACTAACATTAAGTTACTCCATTCAGTGAGCAAACACCTGTGTAAGAGCTAAAATTAGCTAAAAAGTCAGAAACCTGATGGACTGGGTGGATTTGCTGCTGACCTCTTCCAGTCTGAGGCGGCGGCTTCATGTTGCATCAGGAGGAAATGCAGCTCGGCTGATAATGATACATAATGTTCAATCAGTCATCATTACAGATGCTTCCAGCATGTCATGGGTTAACGCATTCAGACTAATGAGTTTACTTCCTGTTGACTGCCAGCTTCCTCTCATCCTCACACTAACTTCATGGCGGTCTTTCTCTCTTATGTCTGCAGCAGATGTAATATTGATGCCCTGCACACTGAAAGCATCCGCTGCTGCGGCTAAAAACGGATTATAGGGACATTAAACATGAGCAGAAGTTTATCTACCAAAGGAGGAGCGATCCACGTCAGTTTATTTCTACCTGGAAAAATTCAGTCAGTATTTAACATCCAACCAATTTAAAAAAATTATTTATGTCCCTGTAGCCTTCTTCTTGACAATACTCCATCGATTCTCTGGGATTTTTTTTTTTTTTTTTGGAAAAACGCCAAAGTGGGCGGGGCCAAGAGCCACTGAGGGGCGTGGCCATGTGTGGAGCTCATGGGGGTGTGGTCGGGAGGAACAGCGGTGTTGCAAACGTAATGACTTTGAAAAGTCACTAAATTTGTCAAGTCGCTTTTTGTATTAAAAAAAAGCCTGAAAAGTCACTAAATGTGGCAACAGACTCGAGATGCTTTTTTTTTTCTTTCTATACAAAAAACGACTATCGGCAAATTGAGTGATTTTTTTCAGTGTAGTCATTAGCAATAAATGTGGCAACTTCTGTCCCAAAAACAGAATTTTTTGGAACAAACTGGCATCTTTTGTCAAATCAAATCATTGGTCAAAAATCTAATCTGATTGAACTGTTGAATGTTTTCCAACAGTGGCAACAAATGTAGCATCTCTCTCAAAAAAAACTAGCAACTAAAAGAAAAAGCGATCAGTAACGAATCTAGCCAATTTTTTTTCCAAAAACACCCAACTAGCAACAATACTGTTTATTTACTTAATTTTTTGTTAAAACAGTCACAACAAACCTAGCAGCTTTTTTCATCAATGACAAGCAATAGATCTAGAGTCTTTCTTAAATCTGGTGAATCTTTTTACACAAAAATGTCTGTTTGCACAGAAACATACAGATGAAACCAGAAAAGACCAATTTAGACAGTTTGTCTGAAAAACTCCAGCTGGTTTGGTGGTTTGTTGCTTTTCCTTCCTCCATCTGCTGCTGCTGCGCTGCGAACCCGTCCTGATGTTCTGCTTTGCTCCCGAGTGGGAAGCGTTTCCACACCGCTCTGACTCAGTCTGCTTACCACCCAGCATGCATTGCAGTGGCGTCTCCACCGGGGGCGCTGCTGAGCAGGTCTGTGCTTCAGGCGGCTAGTTGTCCTGATTCTCATCATAAACAGGAAAAATGTTTGGTGCTGAGGATGTGAGGAGGCGCGCCGCTGATGCTCTGAGCTTCTGCAGTTCTTATTGGGTCTCCTGGGCCGCCCGGTTCTGATGGATCATCTGCAGCGGGAAGCTTCCCGTTTGACCCAAACATCTCCTCCCAGGAGAACCGGTTCATCTGCAGATCACTGAGGAGCGACAATCAGCAGTTCATATTCCCACTTTATTAACATGATGAAGACGAGCTGCAGAGCGCTGCTAATGCAGATTTTCCCGAGACCTTCTCTAAGAGCTGATGAAGAGGATGAAGAAGATGATGGTTCATTTGAGCCCAAACAAACCGACTCCAGATCCGTTTCCTGGGATTCATGTTCGTTCTCAGAATTTAAAACCGAGCGACAAATCTAAAACATAAATCTGACTTCAAGCAGCAAATCAAGCTTCTTATTTTTTTCAATAAAAAATTATTTGTCTTAAAAAAGAAAAAAGCGAAGAGTTAAATTTATTTTTTTAAAGTGACTAGTGAAGAAATGTGGACTTATCTTTAAGACACTAGCAACAGCCTGTTATAAATTTGGCTTGTAGCAGCAAATCATCTTTTTTTTATAACTGACCTGCAGGTCACTTAAAAAGTATTTTGCAACAAAATACTTTTTTTTAAGTCAGAGAAAAATGTGGCTTTTTTTTTTTTTAGTTGAAACAAATTTCTGTTCTGTGAAGTCGATCGTTTCCTTCAGATTTAGTTTTAATCTCGTTCTTCCTCCTGTCAGGTGATTAGCTGGAAGCTGCTAGCCTTCAGTGGGATTAGGATTAGGACTAGGATTATCGTCGGCTGCTATAACCGACTAATTAATGGGTTTGTTTCTGATGCTGCAGCAGAGGTCAGAGGTCGTTCTCGCTCGATTTGTTGATGCCTTTTCTTCCTCTGTCTTTCAGAACCTGGTCGCCTCGGCAACGGGCCAGCGAGTCCTGCGGGCCAGTGTCATTGTTCCAGAACCGGCTGTAATCCTTGCTCCCTTTGTTCCGGCGGCGGCCCACGGGGGCCATGACAGGGGGGCGGCAGCAGAATCAGCCGACGGCGGCAGAATGAGCGGGCCTAGCCGCCCGCGGGCCGGGTCTTCACCGCACAGCGAGCCGGACCGCCAGAGGTCGCAGAGGTCGGCCCCCTGCTGACCTGCAGTGGCGATGAGCTGAAGGATCGCCAGGCGCTCATTTCCTCTCCTGCTGGTTGATACTTCCTGTTTCCTGTCTGGGGGGGACGCTTCCCCCCCCCCACGCCTGCCAGAAGTGCCTTCCTGTCCCTGAACTGATCCGTTTCGCCTCACGTCCTCACCTGGACCCTTCAGAACCGCTTCGTTCGTCCAGCTGTCACCATGGTTACCCTGCAGTCCAAGTGGCGCTTCCTGTTCATGTTCCTGGGCATCCAGCTGGTCGTCATGGCGCTGCTGTCCCGGGAGGGCTACCACAAGCGGGTCAGCTACTTCATCCGGATCTTCCGTAAGGGCGAGGCGGCCGGCCCGGTCCGGAACCGCACCGCCGCCGCGCCGGGCGGCGGGGACGTCTACGCCAACCTGTCCCAGCTGTCCCGGGGACACGACCACGCCGACGACATGCCTTACTGCCCCAAGACGTCCCCGCTCATCGGTGAGTCCAGAACCTTCCAGTCCAAACCTGGCAGAACCCGGCCAATCATCACTGCTGTTTTTCCTTCTGAAACAAGGGGGAACCTTCTAGTTGGTGTTTCCTGTCCCACCATCACAAACATAAACACATGCAGTTTACTCTGCCTGGACTTTAACTAGACCAAACTCAGGGATGATTTCAAGAATTTTGTCACAATATTTTTTGGTATTATTCCGATAGCGATAACAATTTTACAAACTATTTATTGCTACTTTTTTACCTGATGCAACAAACATAAATGCTTTTTATGAGTAAACTGTTAAAATTAAAACCATCTAATCAGTTTTTACATTTACTGACGATTCAGGGAGGAAACAGTGAGAAAATAAAAATAATGTCCATCCATCATCCATCCATCCATCATCCATCCATCCATCCATCATCCATCATCCATCCATCCATCCATCATCCATCCATCCATCATCCATCCATCCATCCATCATCCATCATCCATCCATCCATCATCCATCATCCATCCATCATCCATCCATCCATCCATCATCCACCCATCCATCCATCCATCATCCATCCACCCATCCCTCCATCCATCCATCCCCCCCTCCCCTCTAGTGAGCAGAGGAAAAATCCTCAGCTGAACATTAATGCTGGTCTGGGGATTATTTCTGGATTAATCGATTAATACCTGAATGCAAAAGGTGATTAATCGAATCTTTTAAACCAGGTGACTGAAGGTTTTTTAATGTAAAATATTTTTAGACGGTTTTGGTCTAATATCTGCTCTGAGTGGTTTTATGCTTGTAAATGATGGATTACTGATTTAACTATTATTTCACTAATCGATTAATCTTGATTAATCTGCCGTGAAGCTGTTTGGTTCTGGTTCTGTAGATGAACAGAAACTGATCCGGACCAGAACATTTGCTGCCTTCATCTCACCAAGTTCCACTTGCTATTATTATTATCGTTATTATTATTATTTTTATTATTATTGTTGTATAATTATAATTATTATTATTATTACTATTGTGGTATTTCCCGTCCAGCAGCCGTGTTTTAATGTTGATCCTGCAGGGCTGAAGGTTCTGTTGGGTCAGAACCTTCATGCTCCGGCTCTGATCCGGACCGGTGCTCTTCCTCCTGCTCCTCTTCCTCCCTCCTGTGTTCCGGCTTTGCATCTTCATGCTGTTGTGCTCCAGCGAGATCAGGGCTTATGTAAGCCCGTCGCCGTGCCGACGCTGCAGCAGGGGAGGCCTTAAAGGTGCAGCGCCGTTAATTTACCGGATCCAGCTTGATGAGTGCGGCGCTGCCGGCCCGTTTGGGGATTTGGGATTAATTATCCCGGTGAAAGTCGGTCTTCTAAAGACGGAGAAGAGGAGGATGAATCTGTCGTCTGTCTTCACCTCCGCAGCAGCTGCTGGTTCCGCTGCAGAGACGGAACCGGAACCAGAAATTATGGTTCTGTTGGTTCTGGCGTTTGTTGCCTTTTAGGCACTAAAACATGAAATATGAAGGTTGTGTTTCTGAACCCATCAATCGCAGAATTACACGACTCCCGTCTCATCGTGGCTCAGGTGGAAAACTTTCTGACAGAAGTGGCTGGTCTGCATGTCGACCAGCTGAGGTCAGAGGTCATCCCTCTGCTGCTGAAGCCAGTGGGTGTTTCTCCATTGTTTTAGTTATCGATTAATCGATTATTCTAATGATTAATCGGGAATTGAACCTGCGACGGCCGCGTCAAGGACTACGGCCTCCAGATGTGGGTTGTGCTTAACACCCAGAGTCTGCATGTTTTCCAATACGACAGTAGAAAAGTTAAAAGATGCAAACAAATAATTCAGTTTCTCTTTTAAATCAGAAAATAAACAGTTAGCCTAAAATGCAGTAGCAGTTTTCCTCTAATTGTTTTTAGCTTCATCCTTTTCTACAAATCATCAATGAGTGAAAAGTTCAGCCGTTTCTGATCTGGTGATTATTTATTGATTAACCAGATAGAAAATGTTTTCCAGAATCTGAACCATGTGGAGCTAAAATGCCAGATTAGTTCTGGGTAAAACAGATGAAGGTTTTTTAATCTTTAAACTCAAAATGTTTATATTTTTGTACAGTTTTGGCTTCATTACTGTTTTGTTTTTCAACAAATAGCCTTTTTTAGAGTCTGTATACTCCAGTTAATGATTAATTGATTCTGATTATTCCATAATGGATTAATCTGATTGATCGTTTCAGCCTAACGATCCACCAGTCAGCTCTGCTTCTGCTGGCTTTTCCTCAGGGTGCGATTATGAAACTGTTGCTGCTCTAAGCTCTGCTGGGCCTGTTGATGTTAACCTCTGACCCCTGGTTCTGCTAGCTACCTGCTGTCCTGAGTCAGAACCACCTGAACCGCCCGCCAAACCAGTTTCTGCCTCCGGTCCGGTAAACCAGAACCTGTTTTGTGTCCGCAGGTGGGCCGATCCACGTCAGTTTCCCATCCGGCCTGACCCTGGCCCAGGTCCAGAGGAAGAACCCCCTGGTGGTGAGTGGGGGGCGGTACCGGCCGCCGGACTGCGAGGCCCGCCACCGGACCGCCATCATCATCCCGCACCGCCACCGCGAGCATCACCTCAAGTTCCTGCTCTACTACCTGCACCCGTTCCTGCAGCGGCAGCAGCTCAGCTACGGCATCTACGTCATCCACCAGGTGAGACCTGCAGAACCCGACAGAACCCGACAGAACCCGACAGAACCCGGCAGAACCCGACAGAACCCATCGCCGTTGGCTCTGCTGCTCCCTCTGCTGGCTGCTCTCTGCATGACTGAATAAAATCTCATCATTTTATTCAACCGGATTATTTTCTTTTAATAAGGAAAAATAATAATTATGTTTTTCTGTAAGAAATTGGACCTTAATGACCTGGAGCGATTGAAAAACTGACTCGGTATCGACCCATACCGAATGTCTCCAGTCTGGTTCTGAAAGCATCAGACTGGAAACCAGTTCAGGTCAACTGGTGAAAACAGGATCATATGATGAACCATAAACTGGTTCATGCAGCCTGAATTATTATGGAAAACTTTTTTCTCTATAAAAATAGTTTTTAATTCTGGATTCATCCAGATATGAACAAAAATATGATCCGCTTTAATGACGTTTGCAAGAATCAGCAACGTTTTTAATCTGAAGTGAATCCAGATTAAATCCTCATTCAGAGAAGAAAAGCTTTTGATTTGAAGCAGCCGGATCTTTGGCGCCCCCTGGCTGTGAAGCCCTGAATGCAGAGCCGCATTAAAAGCCTCTGAAGAATCGGCTTCATGCTTCAGAAATGAACCTTTTGTTCAGCTCAGGGTGTCCAAAGTGTGGCTGGGGGGCCGTCTGTGACCCTGTGGTGGACTTTAGGCGGCCCCCTTGAGCTGCATTTATTTTTGTTTTATTTACAAATAAACACTTTAAATTTTATGTTTAAAAAATAGATTACCATTAAAGTTTTTTGCATTCATCTTAATTTTGTGTAAGTGACCTACTTTTTCTCAAAGCAAATTTTACTTCTCATAAAAAAGCAAACAACAAAACATGAGAAACTGGGCGTTCATGTTCTGTATCAAAAATGACTTGTACATGTTTTCTACAAAATATTTATTTTATTTTTGTGGATGAAAATGAAGTAGTTTAGTTCATTATTTAGCAGATAAAATAAAAACTTCAGCTGCAGCGTCTCGTAAAGTTTTTTCTGTTAAAAGTTTTGGGTTTTCTGGGTGTTTTTGCACCGCAGGCGGGGAATTACACCTTCAACCGGGCCAAGCTGATGAACGTCGGCTTCCGGGAGGCGATGAGGGAGGAAGACTGGGACTGCCTCTTCTTCCACGACGTCGACCTCATCCCCGAGGACGACCGCAACCTCTACGTCTGCGACGCCAACCCCAAGCACGCTGCCATCGCCATGGACAAGTTTGGCTACAAGTGCGCCGCTGCAGCGTCCGTTAGCCCGCGGCGCCTCCTACTGGTAGACTCACGCTGTCTCTGCTGCTTGTCCCCTCCAGGCTTCCATACAAAATGTACTTTGGAGGCGTGTCGGCGCTGTCGCCGCTGCACTACCTGAAGATGAACGGCTTCCCCAACAACTACTGGGGCTGGGGCGGCGAGGACGACGACATCGGCGTCAGGTCAGACCCGTTCCGATGCTCTACGACCGAGCCACAGACCGACCTTTGACCTTATGCTCTCCGTCCTCAGGGTGTCTCTGGCGGGGATGTTCATCAGCCGTCCGTCTCTGAAAGTCGGCCGCTACAAAATGATCAAACACAAGCTGGACAAGGGCAACGACGTGAACCCCAAGAGGTAGAGACCGACCGCACGACTGCTGCTGGACACCCAGCCTGGAGTCCATGGCCTAGTCAAAGCAACCAGACTTTAAATGCACAGTAACATGAATCCTTTCCTGATAATTTAACAGAACTAAAAGGAGGTAAACGTATATTGAATTAGGGTGCAGTACCGCGTTACACCAGAGGGTGGCGGTGCATCTTTTTCCCATCATCACAGACACATGAAGAAGTGGACAAGCAGTAAAGAGTTTTAATCCCAGGTTGATAATTTTCACCAAATTATGAATCCTTTAAGTTTTGTATTGTTTTATGTAAATATTTTGAGATAAAAAAAAAAGTTCTGTTAGCATGCCAGATGCAATGCTAGCTTAGCTGCTAACTGCTAGTGTATTTTGGAGTTGGTCACATTTCAGTTCAATACTTATCCACAAATTCAAGTTAGTCAAACAAAATGACACATTAAGTCAGAAATAAAGTCAAAATCTAATTATGTTAAAGTTAATTTTGATTAATCAGTTACATCGATTTTAGCAGGTTAAAAAAAAACATTTTTAACACAATTGTGGTTTTGTGTTTTAATACATACTAAAGTGCCAGAACTTTTGTATTTTGTTTCTGGTACAACCATAAATCTGCCGGACCTGCTACATCCAGGCTAACTGATGACAAAGCTGATACCGTCTGGGGTTCATCCCTGCTTCATCGATGATCTGGAAAAACTATTGTTGTGTTCAAGTTGTGCTAGAAGGAGTTAGCCTATTCAAGCTATGTTAGCTGCACAAGCTAACATAGCATCTCAATGCTAAACATGTTGCTAATGCTAATGTTAGCGTCTACAATCCTTATTTCTAAAGAAGTTCAATGAATGATCAGATTCTTGAAACTCTAAAAACTCTAAATATCTTTGTCTATTTCTTAAATAATTAGAAATTAAAATGTTTTGTTGTTTGTGTATGTCAATCTAACTTTGTCTCTGTTCAGGTTCAACATGTTGGCGAAGACGCGTCAGACCTGGAAGATGGACGGCATGAACACGGTGGAGTACGAGGTCGTCTCCAGGGACTACCTGCCCCTCTACACCAACATCACCGTCAACATCGGGACCGAGTCCGGCCTGCACCCGCCTGCGCAGAAACCCGCAGCAGAGAAACCTGCTGCAGCACAGAAACCTGCTGCAGCACAAACCTGCAGCAGAAAAAGCTGCTGCAGAGAAACTTGCAGCTAATTCTTCAACCAAACTCCAGGAGAAACTTGCTGTAAAATAATCCTGTTGGTGTGATTTCTGGTAGAATGAAGCGATAGCTCCCCCTTGTGGCTCCTGCGGTCGTCTGGAGCTGCGGAGAGGAGGAACCCGGTTGGACTCTGTGAGTTTGTGTGTCAGGCGCTGTCGCCGCTGTATAAACCATGAGGCCTTAGAACCACGTCTTTTCTTTTCACGTAGACCTTAGAGTGTAGAGGGAGTTTAGAGGAGGAAGCTGCTGGAGCGTTTTCACATCAGCTGATTCACGTTGGATCTGTGAAAGCTGATCGGGCCAGCTTCAGTTTCTGATCCACTGCTTCAGTTTCTGATCCACTGCTTCAGTTTCTGATCCACTGCTTCAGTTTCTGATCCACTGCTTCAGTTTCAGATCCACTGCTCCAATTCTGTTTTTCCTGTGGATGATAATGAATTCCTGCATTTTCATCACTCCGACGGCTGATTGTGTGAAAACATCTCTCTTATCCTCTGAGTTTGGCAGAAGAAACCAAAGAAGTTTTTATTCTTCATATCACTTGGTGTTAGTTTGCTGGAAGCTCCAGGTTGCGTCAGACGCCTGGGTTATCACGTAGATGGGAAGTGGCCTTAGACACGCCAGCCTGGTTCCGATCCATAAACGGCAGTTTGGGTCGGAAAGACTGAAACTTTTACTCCTGGAGGAGAGAAACTGAACGGGCCGGGTGTCACTGGGTTCTGGTGTCAGTTAATTTCTGTTCTCCTTTCCAACTTCTGCACAGTCCACAGTGGCCTTATAATCATAAATAAACAGATTCAAAATGAAAATATTCTGTTGGGTTTCTCTTCCCTCCTGGTTTTTATTGCTCATATGAAACAGAAAATCACTAGCATTAGCTTTAGCACCAGCTAAAGCTAAAGCACAACACCAACATGGCATTTCATGCACAGCATCACAGGTGGAGAAGGATATGACGAACGCTTTAGTGACAAAATTATATTGAACAAATCAATCTTATTTTGTTCCTGAATGTTCCTCGTTTGAAATGGTTTTTGGGGAATGTGAAAATCTGTTGAGGAAATGGAAATCCTGCGTAAACAATCTTCACTCACTTCAAAATAATCAAAATAAATCTCTGACTACATGAAGAATTAAACAGACCTCAAACTTTAACTGAAGGTTTACAAAACAGCCAAGTCGATTAGCACTTTAAAATATATCTGAAAATATTATTGTAGGGGAAGCTAAGTGCACTAAAGTTTTAAAGTTAGCTATTAGTGCTAAGCTAAATCGTAGCTCTGCTGTTAGGTTAGCAGAAGTGTGCCCACCACTGTTCGGTTAGGTTTTACACACCAAGATAGTTAATGTACTGGAAGGTAGTTTTATTTCTAAAACACATTCAGCAACAAGGCACTTCAAAGTGCTTTACAAAAATTAAAAGGAAATACAATGAAACAAACCAAGGAAAAGAGCAAAAGAAAACAAAAAAGGATAACTGCATGTTTAAGAATAAGTAGTCTGATTCTCTGGATTCTTGTTCTGATAAAGTTGATCTAAGGCAGAGGTTCCCAAACTGTGGGGCGCGCCCCCTAGGGGGAGCGCCGTGTCATTGCAGGGGGGGGCGCGGGAAGCCGTCTGAATGGAAAAAAAAAACAAAACATGAA